CCCCGGCCCCTCGGAGGCCAAAGCTGACGGGGAGCTCGGGAGTCTCCGAGGCAGCCAGGGACGTTCCCAGCCAGCTCCTCGGCCAGGCGGTGCCGCTCGGAGCTCAGACTCATCGCCGCTGGCAGACGGGTGACGCTTCCCCGCCGGTACCGCGCACGGACCCTGCCGGGCTGCGCCACCCGGGCTGCTGCGGGACCCGGCGCTCCCCTCCAGAGAGAGGGAAGGCTGAAGAGAGCTACGTCCTTGCCTGAGCTGACTTCGAGGATGAGCAGTATGCTTGATGTTCTTGATTAATCGTCTCATCTAGTATTTTGAGCACTCATGCCAGTGGATGGCGCGTCAGCAAAATACGAGGGGGTCAAGTGGCACTCAGCTCTTAGCCCATTTCTATCAGAAACCAATTCTGTGACTCCAGCTTCCCACATAAGAGGCTTCTAGTCCACTTAGCAAAGAGGTCACCAGAGCTGCAAGCAGCTCCCCTGACCTTGGGGTTGTCTCCATACAATTCTTCTTGGTGACTATTTTGAAGCAGGTACAGAAAAGGGCTTCAGCTTCCTGGTTAAATGCAGCAGTAACCACGTGGTAAGTACCAGGCTGCTGAACAGAACCAAAGCCCTGAAGTTAGAGGACAAAAATAATCCCACAGCAAAAGGAAAGACACCCTTAGTCCAACCACAGCGCCCAGATCTCTGGGAAAGGGAATTCTCTATCCAAAGCCTCCCGAGCTTTCTGCCTAGGCATAAGGGCAGAGCCCCCTCAACCTCCCTGCTCCTCTTGCCTGTGGTCGACAGGGTCTGCAGAGCCCCTCCGTGGAGAAATGCACCAGGAACGCACACGAGGGGCAGCAACACGCAGCCAGTTATGGACCGTGTCAAGCAGTTTAGATCCTGCTTTGCAAAACTCTCTATATAACCTCTATAGGGACTCTATAGCCCTATAGGAGCAAGGGCAGTTATAACAGTTCAGGAGCCTGGAGATGACACAGAAAGGGCAGGGCACAGGGGGCACTTCAGGCAGTGCAAGTCCCTCAACTCTGCTGTTTGCCCCAAGAGCTGTTTCCCTGCAGCATGGCGCTAGCCGCCCCGTGGCGCAGCCCGCGCGTGCCGCCTGTGTTAGGCACCGTGCTCGAGTCACTGCCGTTCCTGCGTCCTGCTCAAGCCATTCACAAAGCACCCGGCCTGCCTCGACCCTTCCTGCGCGGCCGTCGCCCCTCCGAGCCCCGGCAAAGGGGTCTGGAGGCTGGAGTTCCATTTTGTGGGCCGGCCGGGCTGCAGCCATCTTGGAGGCTGCGCGGCCTTCCCGCGCGCGGAGCCGCGCCACAGCCGCCCTCCCCGCGGCGCCGAGACCCCGGGAGCTGCTGACGCTCGCTAAAACGCGCCCGTGCCGGCCGTGGTCTGGCTACTTTCACCCACGCGCCAAGTGTCATCGTCTTACTTCACCTCAGTACCAGCATCTCATACTGAAAGCCTGAAAACTTCCTGCTTTTCAACCTCGGCCTGCCGCGCCGAGGGCAGCCGCTCTCGGGCTGAGCGATCCCTTTGCCGTGACGCACACGAGCCCCCCGGCTCGGGGTCTGTCCCTCTGTGCTCTCTGTGAGTCAGCTGGAGCCCGGATGGGTTCACGAGAGGCCGATGTGACTGAAGGAGCTAAAACGAAAGCAGGACGGTGGCCCTGACGGTGGATTTGTTTTTGGGTTCTGCTACCTCTGTGACTCGAGGTGCAGCACCTAGAGATGCTCCTGCAGGAAGGTTTGCCGAAGCAGCAGCGCACTCGCTGCCCCCGGGTCTAGCTGCAGAATAACCATCTGTGAAAGTCTCATTTCCTCCCGTCCCTCATCATCCCATATGCAAAAGAGAGAGAAACAGAAGGACGTGAACAGCAGTTTTGAAAAGGGGAAAAGCTCAGAGCTGCAGCAAAGCGGTGTTGGTGGCTTACCCAGGTTCCATGCTGGGTTCCTTGGCCCAGGACATTGGCAGCTTCCAGAACGAGCTTGGCCCGTTCCTTCAGCAGAGAAAGCACCTCAGCACCGCCCTGTGCTGCGTGGTCATGATGGGTGACACCACTCTAACCACGTGGCTGCGCTCGTTTTCAAAAGAAAAAAAAATCTGAATATTTTAAGGGCGTTTTGGAAGTTCCCTTTCTCTTCGCACTAGGGGTGTTTGCAAAGCCAGGCTGGTATCTTCTCACACTCACACTCTAGGCTCTGTAGCACAAAGCAGAGCCTGGGCTGGCAGTATTGCTAAGGGCCTTAGTGATGCAGTGATCATTCAATTACCATGAAGGTATCTCAGTAGCGATGGTGAGTCTGACAGCATGGCATCTAAGATGATAAAGAACCTCAACATTTTTGTAAATAGTATTCCCCAAGCTGGGGAATACTCAGTGTACGGATTATGAGGGAAATAAAAAGCATGCACTGAGATTCACGAGAGCTGATGTAAGACAGAAAACCCACTCTTTGGAGACAAGTAGACATGAACCAGCACGTACCCAAGCATGAGACTCACGGTTTGTGTTCTGACCACATTCTCAGAATCTATTCTTAGAATTACTATAAATCCAGTTCCCTTCTCTCATCAGTACAAGGAAGGCTCCGTAGAGTACAAGGTACCATAGGCAGAGCTGGGAGGCTGAAGCTTTGTTGGGAGATGATGCCTAAAAGCCGAGCTGCCCTGAGCCTATTGCAGAGGGGAGCAGGGCCCAGCGGGGCAGCCTGGGCACCCCATCAGGTGCTTCCTGGGGACAGCAGCACGCACAGAAACAGCGGGGCGCGAGGGGAGGAAGCCTCGTGGATGGAGCAGTCGGCACACAGGACAAGCCACCAGCAGCTCCGTGCTGGGGCAGCGCACAGGACAAGCCACCCTTGTGCTGGGGCAGCAGCCTGAAC